CAGCAGGAACACAGCAAAACTTCCCTCTGCCCCTAGATGATGTAGGAATTGTTCCCCACGATCAACTGGCATGGCCTTGGAGGCGATAGGGAGTTGCCTTCTTTAGTGGAGTATTCCCTAATATCTTCTGAGCATATTGCAGCCAGGCACAAAGCCCCCTTCCAGGGGCAGGGGCAGGGGCAGGGGCAGGGGCAGGGCCTGGGAACTGACTGTTTTTATCTGTGGCAAGTCATAATGTAGTTCTTGGCGCTCCCTGGTGTTGTGCTCTGTAGCTGTGTTGTGGGCTTAGAATGGACATTTTCAGAGTCTTTGGGTAAGGGGGCTGCCTGGGAGTGCAGGGGACCGGGCCCCATAGGTCAGGAGGCCTCTTCCAGAGCTGTGTCCCGATGTCATTATGTAGCATTGTTACTGCTTTATGCCAACACAGGGCGAAAGACACTGCTCTGTTTCCCTCATGGATAGACAGTCCAAGTGAAGTGATCAAAAAGATGTTAGCCCATTTTCCTGTAGCTTTGGCTTAAGTGTGCCTTCACCTGCCAGGTTTAGGGTTGGCTGGCATCTCGAAGCAAATCTTGTTTGAAACTGCCACTATTTTTGTTATTATTTTGTTTGCACAACTGCAACCCAGTGTCTTAAATGTCTCCAAATACCTTTCCATCTACCCACTCCTCTACTGATAACAATGGAGCCAAACTGTTACATTAAGCCTATTTTGTTCAGGTTTAACATTGCAGAAGTTTAGCTCACTTAGGCCCCTGGCATGTGCGGGTAAAGGCAAGATGGGATCTGATGCAGGATCCCCCCAATCACACTTCCTGCCATGCACATGTGGGGGTTGTGGGAATCCCACATCAGATCCCATCACACCTTATTGCCAGTGCAGGGGGAGCATCAGGGGGATAATGATCCCAGGCTCCCCCTGCACTGGCAAGTAGTAAGCTTCTGCAGCTTGGAGTCCTGTCTGCTAATCCAGGCTCCCAGTGGCAGGGGTGCACCATGTGCTCCTGTGGCTGGGATCCCCCAGCTGATTTGCTACTTGCCCATGTACTCCCACCACTATGAACCTGGATAAGCTGATGGGGCTGTCAGCCCAGGGGCTCAGGGTGCACCCCCATGGCTGGGAGCTCTGGATCAGCTGGGAGACACACCTTGCAGCTAGGAGACTTAGCCTGGCTACTAATTAATGGCATGATAGGAACCAGCCACAAAGTGTTTGAACATTTTTTGTGTAATAACTTTGTTGTTTATTTCTTGTTTTATCAAACCATTAATTGCTTTAATGTGTGGCAGGTAACAACTTATGATGTGATTAACTGGTCAATCACAGCATAAGTGTAATGTCTGCCAGGGGATGTAGACTAGTCTGGGAGTGGACAGGCAAAATAGTTACACTGATACGTGCTCCAGTCCACATTCCTCTTTTAAAACAGTTTAAAATGTACATCTGTCCACAGCTTCTATTACCATGGTTTAAATAAGGCGTGGCCAACCGGTGGCATGTGCAGACTCTATGTGTGACGTGCGGCAGATCAGGGAGGGGATAGACAGCACAGTGGCAGATAGGGCAAGGAGCAGAAAGCAGACCAGCAGACCAGGCAAGGAAAGGGGATTTGAGGGGCCCTCAGGGAGGGTTTGGGACTAATTTGTGGCACCCCTACCAAAAAGGTTGGCCCCCACAGGCTAAAACAGGGCCTTGGGAACTCCTAAGGTAAAACAGGAGTGGTGGCTGGTGTTACATGCTCTGTCAAGGTCCCACAGCTCTGTAGAAAACTCCCCCTGGGCCTGTGTCAGCAGGCATTCATTTACCCCTTCATTTTTCCACAGAGGCTTTGGGGAGGGAGCTGATGAGCCAGATACAGCATGTTGGAAAAGGGATGAACAAGACAGTTCAACTAAGTATACAAGGTATGTTTAAAATGTGTGGGACTTGCTCTAAAAATGTAAACAGGCTTAGCAAGGGCCTTCATATCTGGGAAAGAGGAGTTCCTTGGGATGGTGGGTAGGGGGTATAGAGTGTAAAATTAGAACTAACTGTGATAAAATTTGGCAAGGGAAAAACTAAAAAGCTGAACAACTGGTACCGTGTCAATAGGGAAGTAATGGAGCTTCATTGCTTGGGGCACTGAAAGCTAAACTAGGCAAATCATTAAGGAATGCTTCTGTACCGGAGGAGGCCAGACTAGATGGCCAGATCAGTCTGTTTTAGTTGCTTTTACTCTCGTCAAAGCCAGATTTAAATAAAAGAAAGCCATTTAGCGTGAGGGGAAGGATGGCATGTCCAGCATGTGCTAATGGGAAGGCAAGCATCTTTATAGGCATTTGTATTACCTAAGGTGCATGTAACTGTAACTGTGAACACACAAGCAGGCATGAAACTACACTTGCATTTACATCTCAGGTATCTTGTTGTGAGATGATCATAACTTCCTAGCCGGGGAACATGTGCATATTCCTCCCCCAACATTCTTTATAAGTATTTGTGTCACCATGCACTAATGGTACTGACGTGTTTGATCCACCACTTGGCTCTGAGACCTTTGTGTGGCCTTTCCAGCAGGAAGAAGCAAAACCTGCTCATCTGGCTTCAGTCCATTTGGATGAAGCTGGATTAGCAGGCTTGCAATGCCTGGGGATGTGGTTGCCTTTGAGTCTCACAGTCCCACTGAAAGCACTTCTGGTAAACCAGAGCTATTAGAGAAGGAAGCCTGCAGGGAAAGGTGTACGTGTACTGTGACTATACAACTGGGATTATCTCAGATCTAGCCACTGGTGTACACCAGCCAGTCAAGTGGCATCAATGGAAACCCCAGCTATAATCAAGGCTTCAGTGGCTTTTTCATGCTCTGTTAAGCACGTACCAACAATCTGCTCAACAATTGTCATTCTGCCCTGAGATCTTGTATGTTAAAAACACATGTTCCTGAAAAGCGCTTGTTCTGGAAGAAGCGCTGCTAATTTACCTGCTATGCAATAGAAGCAGCAGCAATTTTCTTTCTGGCCTTTGGGTGTAGTTACAAACAGAACAGGAGAATTTTGATCAATATTTCTGCCTTGCCTTATGTGTGATTTTTGAGCTTCTCAGTCAAAGGTATTATCAAGTGGCCTCATGCAGGGGTAGAGGAGTCTCTTTCCATGTATTGTTGATGTACAGATGCCATGGCAATTGGTGGATTAATGTTGTAATAAACGAGAAGACAGATAGAGGCACCATGTCCTTCCAACCAATTAATGTCACCGAACCTAATGCCCCTAAGCACCCAGGAAACTTGATAGCATTGAGGTTCTGCAGCGACCAAAAGCAGAGCGGAAGCTCTGTGCGTGCCTTCCCATACCGGAGCTGCATTTTCCGAGTGTAACCCCAACTCCCAGTTTCCAGCCTTTTAAACACTTGTGATTTTCTGAAAGGTTTTCACCCCTAAGAAGCACAGCTCTGCCGTGGAAAGTGACTATAGAGATGGCCTTGTGGGTTTCCATGGTGATGGTGTCTGACTCCAGATCAGATATGTTCAATTTACAAATAGATTGATTTTTTTTTTCTCTAAAAGCAAGTTCACCCTTGGAACTGCAGCTCAGGGGGCATCTGTCCCAACTCACACACCATCGCTAGCGTGCAAGGCTCAGCCAGCCATGGGCTGTTCTCACTTATTCCTGGCCTTCACATCAAGTCTTCACTTACACCCATATCTCCAGTGGGGTTGGCGAGGGTATCACTTACGGACCTTGTAACTGAGATTTAGTGACCAATTCTGCTGATGACTCAGAGGACAGCATAGATCCTGACCCTGCTCTCTTGGGGCTGCAGGGCATGCCAGGGCCAGAAGCACTGACATCTTTTTGTCACTAAAATGTCTACGTACCAGTGGGAAAGGCAAGGTTTTTTGTGGGTCATATCTTTTATTGGACCAACTATAAAGTTGGTCCTGGCAGGCCTGAGGAAAGATACTTGGTATCCACAAGCTTGTCTGTATCCCTACCCTCCCAACTATAAGGTGGGTCCCATAAAAGATATCACCCACAAAAATCCTTGTTTCTCACATTTTTCCTGGACAATCACAGCTACAACATATCCCAGAACTACCACTACATAACTATGGCTCCTTCTTGCATAAGCCTGCTTTGAAGCCTGTTGACATCAATGGGAAGATGCTCAATGGATATAGACTTTCAGTTTCTGTGGAGCCCTTGAATACGCTGCTGGGAAGGGGTCCCTAACCACCCACTCTGCATATGCCAAACCTCTTCAGTGTAACTAGTGGTGGGTGACCAGGACATGAGCTTTGGGCATCTAGTTAAAGGTGGCACCAGTGATGAGAGTCAGAACAGCACTTGGGAAGGGGATGGGGGTTTGGAGCAACATGTTGCAGCCAGGGTGACACTTGAGGAGGGGGAAGGAGTGAGTGTCAGTGTCAGGTCAAGTGTAAGGACCACTGAATTCCGTGCTGCCCCATCCTGGTGGTGACAGCAACAGCAGCGGCTGTAGGGAGTGTTAACTGCCTGGCTGTTGATGGCACTGACACTTCCCCCCTCCTCTCACAGCAGCCGTGTCTCCCATGGGGCTACTGTGGCTTGCGCGCAGGGCGTGGATGTGATCAGTCACACCAATCCTAGATGTGAAGCAGTGAAGCTGTACTGGGAGCCTACCCTGCTGGGGCTCTCAGGGGCTCTGTCTCCACCATGCTTGAGAGTGACAGGGGGTGCCCTGTGCGTGGTGGCTTCAGTGCCCCAGTCCTGGCTTG